ATGGGCGACTTTTTTAGAAGTAAGCAGAAATGGAAAAAACCGGCATCCATGTGGGAATTGCCAGACAGTCAAATTCCCAGTCACACTGACTACAATAACAGCAGTAACGTCAAATGTTGAGAAAGAGAGGTTCAAAATTAAATTCAATGGAATACCCTCGGGTTATTTGTTTATGTGCAAATATGAAATGTCTGCCTTTTTTGGAAAGCCAACAAAATTCCGACAATGTTTTTCCAAGAAATTCTTTCATTCTCAGGATGCTTTAAATACTGTTTGGCAGATGTGTGCCTTACAAGAGTCATCTTCTAACTTCTAAGGCTGTATAACATGAGTGTTGGGCTCTTAGTCACATCACTGAGGGTCGTTATTGCTCCATTAACAGCACAGATTTCTTCTATCTTCCACTGATGCTGTTGAAGTGGTTTTCTACCCTCCCCCGATCTATACCTCCATCACAGTTTCATCATGGAAGTCTACAGAGTGAAATCTTATATACACTGTGACTTTATAACTGATGGGTAGTTGATTAATGATGTCACATTAGGAAACTGTTACATTTCAAGACAAGTTGCAGCCAACCCCAATTTGAGGTGCCACAGCAAACGATCTCAACACTTTGTTAAAGAATATAGTTGACCTTCTGATTATTAAATGGCATGGCCAATAAAATGCTACAAATCTAAGCATAATTTTCCCTTGGTCATTATGAGATAGCTGTCACAATTCATCCAGCTGTTTCTGTCAGCAGTCACATCATCATCATTATGCCCGTACCTTAACATTACGTCTAATTTATATGCACCACAAATAAAGATGATGCAATACATACATGTATACATATACAGGCGCAGTATATTTTGGATCATGGACTATTACTTTCCTGCTGTTTACTTTTCTTATCATCCTAGGGCGAGTTACTCTTCGTTTTTCTTTTCAAAACTAGACAGATGCTTTCTAATCAGTGATTTGTACCTCACTGTAAAATCACAGTATGTACATTCATGAAGGTGTCTGCAGATTATAGTTAGCTATAGATTATAGATTATAGATTATAGTTTATCGTCATAGTTAGAGTAATTATAATCCTGAAATTTTGACTTTCTCTCTGATAGGTTTGTTGTGGTTTTTCAGCATAATGATGGTCTTTAAAAAAAAAAGTTTAATAGTTGAAAATCAGCTCCAGATCTAATTTTTAACAAGGAAACTGAGCTCGCACTGAGCAATATTAAGCGCACTGAGCACTTATTACTTTTGAGCCGCACTGAAAATAAGAGGAAATATATAAAAATGGCTGTAATTCATTAACAGTTAATTCACAATGAACCCACCCGAAACTCTGGCTGATTGGGACCCACACCCAGTTCCACACCTTGGCTCAGGCGATTAGAGGATCATCAGGGGG